TAGGGTTGTGACCATATATTTTTCCCTTTTAAGATCTATACAATCAAGATACATATTCTTGAGTCAACTATTGATGTTGGAGATTGAATCTCTTTTCCATCGTATTTTAATCAATCAATCTATCAACATTCCAATTTGTGTATTTATGACGCGTGTATATTCCTTTAAAATTCAAACCATAAATGGAAAAAGAAATCTACCTGAGCTTAATTTCCGAAAGGTGTTACAATCCTTAGGAAAACATTCATGTGTTAATTAGTAACTAAGAGTTTCGAGTCATGAGTATTAATGAAAGTTGTTTCACTGAATTGTTTGAACAGTTTAAAACTTCATCACTCCCACCTTGAAGCCAGGCTATGATGAACTAATTTTTAGGGTTTTCTTGTAGATGACTGGAACTATATATAAAATTGTGGAGGATATGAACTTAGAGTTCAATTTTTATTATGGTCAATCACGCAGTTGGCTGCAACTAGTATAAACTGATTTAGTATTTAATAGTATAATTAAGTTGATTTAAGAAATTAAATTTTATAGAACAATAATTTATTTTTATTGTTTATCTTTTCACTTCTCTTTCTCTTGTTTTTTTTTCTATGATAATTATTCGTACATGGTAAATAATTTTAGGCTTCAATGGAAGTTGGGTTAAAGTTGAACTTTATATATAATTCAAACATGATACCATAAGATATTTACGAATGTGTATATGAATTAAGTGGAGAATATTGAACCATGATACAAGAGATGTATATATTCCCTATATATACCAGACACCATATTTTTACTCAACAATATTAAAAATATTCTAGATCAAGCATTGGGCTTCTGGAGTGATGAAGAAGCTGCTGTGGTGGTTTGGGTGAGGGATACCTGAGCATGGGTCAGCGCCCGTGGAATCATGGGTCCCTATATCTTCCACAGGAGTCATTTGATCTGTTTGTACTTCTCCATCTGCTACAAAGACATGGCATTAGCTTTCGTTCACCTCCATTAATGGTGTCAAAAGTACCACCTCGTGATCCCACTGTATCATCAATCAAATGTCAAAAGACATTTAAATTGCCCGAAATAGATAATCTCTTTTTCATTCTTTTTTAATCCTGTAAGTAAAATAATTAGATTCCAAATAACAAATTATGTAGCTAAGCTAGCCTTTTAAGCAATCAAATTAAGATTTTATGTAAATAGCTTATCAATAAACAAATGAGGCAAGATTGGGTTCAAAAAAAAAAAATTGATTCTATTGGACTAACATAGTGGCAATAAAAAATCATACTTTTTTATTCAACTGTATCAGATAATAATTTATTCCAGATTTCTTGTTTAATTTTTAATTTTTTGTTATTTTTTTATTTAAAAGTTTATCAAATAACCACCTTAGATGAAACCTTATTATATCATTTATATTATTCTCCAACATACTCTCGTAAATAAAAGCTTTTTAAAGATGAAACTTATATAAGTTCACACTATTCTATGTTTAATTTTTATCAAATAGAATGAGAGTAATGAAATTCAAACCATGAGGTTAAGATGATTTTTTGATAAAATTCTGATTTTATTGTCTAATAAAAATGAATTTCTAATCTTTTTAAGGAGGTGAAATCTATATATGTTAGACTATTTTTTCAATAGTAAAACTATGAATTAAAGTGTTTATATTCTACCTTTATTTTCAACCAAATTCTATCTTTATATCCTTGTTATTTTTATTGTGTTTTTTTCTGCATTAAAAAAAAAATTCATGTTTACATAATCACATACAAACCATCTCAAAAGAGTATGCAATAACTTCAGGTTGGTTTCTTTTGAATACCAGTAACATTCATTAACAAATTTTTTATTTTTTTATTTAAATTTACTCTGCTTTAAAGTAGTGTTTAATTACTTTCTCAAAATAAAAAAAATATCAAGATAATAAAAACAAAAAAAAAAGATATTTTCTTATATCTATGTTTTTTAAAAATAAAAATTCATTCCAGAGCTTTTAGAAACAAATTTATTTTTATCTTTATCTCCTCTATATCTATTTTTTCTGTCTCAACACACTGATCAAACAATCAAACATAGTTTAAACAAAATCTCTCTCTCTCTCTCTCTCTCTCTCTCTAACATCAAAGTGAATAAATCCATTCAATTCATCCAAGCCTTCTTCTACTTGGGCTGTAAGCAGATCTTCTCTTCCCCCTCCGTCTCTCTTTTGTTTGCCATTAATGGGTGCTCAGCATTTGGACAGTTCCATACAAAATTAAAGTTTTCAAAAAAAAAAAAACATAGGCACAAATCAAGAAAAAGATTGGACCTTTGCCCACACTTAAGCCTTTCTTCTAGTCAACTCCAATTAACAATAACAACAGTTTTGTTAATCTCTTGAATATCACAAAAGGCAAGCTCTCCATTTCCAACGTAGGCATGTGTGACACATGGAAGCCACACAACAGCGCGAGCAAGCACACAGCCTCTGTCCAGCATGGCAACTTTCGTTGCCAGAAGTGGGGGCATCTTATCCAGCACTGGACCTCTTCCTGCGTGGCCCACGAAAATGCCATGCTGGCACTTTCTGGGACCAAGACAGAAGCGTGTCTTCTTGTTTGTAGCTTGCGATCTTCACAAGCTTGGAAAAAGGCATCCTCAACCATTAATTTTTTTTTTAAATAATTTTTTTTTTTTGTGGTGTTTAAAAGGGAATTACTTGCAGTTTCAAGATTTTAATCATTCGTTCATTAATAATGGTGGGTGGCTGATATGATGGTCACTGCTTTCTGGGATTATAAACATGCAATAATTGACTAAGATAAACATCTATTAAGTTGACAAATTTGCCCATCGATACTTAAACTTCTTTTAAAATAAATAAATAAATTGGGATTATTTTCCTTTCAATTTTATTTTTTTTACATCATCAATGCACAAGATCTTACATGTGGAGTTTACAAGTCAAAATTCATATAGTAACTCTCTTAAATGATCCCACGATACGCTATCATGCTAGTAATTCAAAATTAAAATTAAAATTAAAATTGTTACTGTCAATCATTTTATTTATTTTTTTGCTCTTTTACATAACCACCAACCATGCATTCAATAAAAATTAAAATAAAATAATGAAGCTGCTATGTTGCCTCTCTCCACTATACAATATAGTACCCTTCACTATGTCATGTAAGCATTTAAAAGAAATCAATTCATTTCATTATATATGAGGTTATAGCCTATACCTTGTTTTTTGTTTACTTCTTTGATTATATATGTATACACACACATATAATAGTTTTTTTCCTTTCAACTGGATTTAAATATGTTTTTCATATTCAAGTTGATTTTTTCTTCAAACTCAATATTAGCTATATTATAGCTTCTAATTGGCAATGGCTAACATGGGGTAAATTAATGCTAAGAAAATTAGTCAAATTATGTCAAATATCCGTAAACAATAACAACAAAAATCAAATTAAATAATTTCTTGAATACTTTTGGTTTAAAAAATAATTTGATTTCAAAATTAAAAACTGAAAATCGGATTAAATCAAACAAAAAAAATCTATTATAAACTAAAAAATTATTAAATCAAATTCTTAATAAAAAATTTAGCTAAAACCTTTAAATCAAATTAGATTTATTTAGTTTTTATAAATGTAAACTGTTCTGGATTATTTTTTCAGTTTGGTTTAACTAGGTTTAATTTTTTTTTTAATAATCAATTTAGTATTTTTTTGTCAAAACCAAATTGTTAATTGTTTTTTTGATCAATAGAAAATGCTCTGTGTGATTAATTATGGATGAATCATTACCAAAGCATTAGAGAAATGATCTCAAGCTTATGAAACATCAATTCCATGATTGAAGAGAAGATTTGATTTTTATCATCAGCCTCTAACAATAAGCAAAAATGATTACCATGATTGCAAGCATAATTACAGAGCTGTAACACTCTCATATGATGTCACCATACGCTATCATGCCAGTACTTGAAAATTACAATTAAAATTGTCACTGTAGATCTCTTTTCTTTTCTTTTTTCCTGGTTCATGTCTATATAATAGAATTGTTCGTCCAAAAAAACAAAAACCCACTTTAAACTAAATACTCATTGAATCAAAGTTTATAAAAATAAATTTCAACTAAAAAAACTCATAAATTAAATTGAGTTTATTTGACTTTTAAAAATATAAAACCAGTTTTGTTCAATTTTTTATTCAACTCAATTCAAATTTTGTATTAAAATTAAACCATTTATATCGTTACTCATTTGATATATCAAATTTAATTTAAAAAAAAAATACATAATAATTTTTGAATAAAAGACAACCCGTTTGTTTTTCAGTATTAATAATGTTTTAAAAAAATTAATTTTTTTTTAATTTTTTTAATATGTTGATATTAAAAGTAATTTTAAAAAATTAAAAAATATCATATTAATATATTTTTAAATAAAAAATATTTTAAAAACTACTGTTATTATACTCTAAAATACTTTCAAACAAATATATTCCATTGACTGTGTTTCATTTGGACATCACTCCCAAGGAGTGTTTGGTTGACTATGTTTCAATTGAACAACCCTAGGGTCTCTCACAAGCAAGGATAATCAAATACCCAAACAACACCAGACCCCACCTATCCTATTGGATGATAGTAACAGTAAAAATAAAACTTTTGATTTTAATTTTTCTGATTTTTTTAAACCGGCTTGTACCGTGTTACTTAACGGTCTCTAAATCAATAATTATTTAACGATATATTTATTCATCTTCATGGGCTGCTGCTGATGCTGCCTGAGCCATCAAGAACACAAAAATTCCCAAAAGGATATTATAGTCATCACATTAGTCAACCATGGAGTCAACGTCCTTGAATTTTCATTACCTCTCAACAAAACAAAAAAAAAAAGAAGAGAGAGAAATATTACCACCAAGGTAAAAACACTATTTTTCAAAGGCCATTCTTGTCACAAAAAATATTCACATTCTCAGCTATATATCACAACTAGACTGACATCCAAAGTAGCAGACTCTTTTTTTCTTACAGGAGAGAATATCTTTGATCTTCTGGTTGTATCTTTCTAGTTCAAGAATGGCAACTACAGAGAGTAAGGATGAGAACCACACAAATGGTTTAGGGTTAGATTCATCAGCAGAAGAACAACATGAAAGATGTCCTGTTGAGGAAGTGGCCTTAGTTGTGCCTGAAACTGATGACCCAACACTTCCTGTCCTGACTTTCCGTGCATGGTTTCTGGGTTTAACTTCATGCATAATACTTATCTTTTTGAACACCTTCTTCACTTACCGTACACAGCCACTCACTATCTCTGCCATTCTTATGCAAATTGCTGTGTTGCCTATAGGGAAGTTTATGGCTAAGACTTTGCCCCCTAGAGATTATAGGATTTTGGGGTGGAGTTTTAGTTTGAATCCAGGGCCTTTTAATATGAAAGAACATGTGATTATCACTATCTTTGCTAATTGTGGGGTGTCTTTTGGTGGTGGTGATGCTTACTCTATTGGTGCCATTACTGTTATGAAGGCTTATTATAAGCAGAATCTGAGTTTCCTTTGTGGGCTGTTCATAGTCTTGACTACTCAGGTAATTCTTTTGGTGTTGTTAGCTTCTGATCTTGTGTCTAGATTCAAGAGTCATGGTTGATTTAGACGTAGTGAAACAGTGGGGTTTTTTTTTTTAAATATGATTAGAAAATTGGATTTGATTGTTTGCATGTGGGTTGGACTCCAAACTTTTTGTGGTTCTTTTTATCTTGCAGTTTTTTTATGTGCATTATGCAGGTGATATGGTTACTGTGCATTTGATTTTCAACCAAAAGCTATCTTTTTTCAATTTAGTTTAGTTTTATGAGTGCATTTAATTGTAGATTTTCATTTGATTTTTGTGTGTCTGGTTCTTGATCTGCAGATTTTGGGATATGGATGGGCCGGGATGCTAAGGAGATACTTGGTTTATCCTGTTGAGATGTGGTGGCCTTCAAACCTTGCTCAGGTTTCTCTGTTCAGGTCTGTGTTAAAAAAAACTTGGCCCTACATTTTATTAAATATCTGTTTGGTTGATGTGAAAATACAGAACACAGAAATTTTTTAAAGCCTTTAAGCTTTAACTCTTAGAATCCCATACCTTGATTGATTTTGACAATAGAAGTATAAATTTTATGCTCTTTCTTGACAACTGGTAAATCTTTGAAGGGATGGTGATAGTTGATCTATTCTTCAACATATCCAAACACTGCTTGTGGTTCAAATTCCATTACTGAAGATGCACACGACAGAATATTTCTAAAAATACAAATAGAGGCTGAGAAAAGGACATTGCAAAATCCCCATCAAGTTGTGGTGTGAAGAGAAATTAACTCAAAACAATTTGCTTTTGTTTGAATAATGGAGCTGACTGTGACTATAATTCTAGTTGCATTACTTTAGCTTGTTGGTATATGATTCAAGTGCATGTTCACTGTTTGAGAATCTGTTCTGTATTTCTGTATCTGTTCTTGCCTTAGGGGACAAAGTGCATGATGCTACTGACGTTGGATTGTTGTTGACAGACAATGAAATGCCTTCTTAATTTGCTTTGGTTGTCATGAATTTGCACATGGGATCATATTCCTGAAGGTCATTGGTGAAGAAAAAGTAGTCCAAGTGAAAAGATTCATATGTGATTAGTTCGTAGGTAACTTTTGGCAATAATGTTGTCATATGCTAACAATCTTGTCTCTACAGAGCACTTCATGAAAAGGATCCGAAAAGTAAAGGCCTGACTAGGATGCAATTCTTCCTCATTGCCATGACAGCAAGCTTTCTCTATTATACAGTCCCTGGTTACTTGTTCCCAATCATGACGTTTTTCTCATGGGTTTGCTGGGTATGGCCTCATAGTATCACGGCTCAACAAGTAGGGTCAGGTTACCACGGCCTTGGTGTCGGTGCCTTTACTCTTGATTGGGCTGGGATTTCAGCCTACCATGGCAGTCCTCTTGTCACTCCTTGGGCTTCCATTGTCAATGTTGCGGTTGGATTTATCATGTTCATCTACATAATACTCCCTTTGTGTTATTGGAAATATAACACTTTTGATGCTAGGAAGTTTCCAATATTTTCTAATCAGCTATTCACTTCTAGCGGGCAAAAATATGAAACTACAAAGATCTTGACCCCAGATTTTCAACTTAACATCCCTGCTTATGATAGTTATAGCAAGCTCTATCTGAGCCCTCTATTTGCCCTGTCAATTGGATCAGGATTTGCAAGGTTCACAGCAACCCTCACGCATGTGGCGCTGTTTAACGGAAGGTACCCTGGTAATGCAAGTATAGGTTCCCTTATCACTGGATCTTAATAAATGACAATACGTGTTTTCCATTGTCCAGGGATATTTGGAGGCAAAGTAGCAGAGCAATGCAGAATGTGAAATTGGATGTTCATTCGAAATTGATGAAAGCTTACAAAGAAGTTCCTGATTGGTGGTTTTATATTCTCTTAATAGGAAGTGCTGTCCTCTCGTTGTTAATGTCTTTTGTTTGGAAAGAAACTGTACAGCTGCGTTGGTGGGGTATGCTCTTTGCCTTTGCCCTGGCTTGGCTTGTTACCCTTCCTATTGGTGTTATTCAAGCAACTACGAATCAGGTATGGCCAATTTTTTAAAATTGTGTCTTTTCTTATCTGCCCTCTTAGACATTGGAAACTTTGCTTTTAATGGATAGCCAAATCTTAGTTGAGGGTATTTCTGTTTTATCTCATAATGTAGTGTTTACATTGCAGCAACCTGGGTATGACATAATAGCACAGTTCATGGTTGGATATGTTCTTCCAGGAAAACCAATTGCAAATCTGCTTTTCAAGATTTATGGACGAATTAGCACGATCCATGCTCTTTCTTTCTTAGCTGACCTTAAGCTTGGACACTACATGAAAATTCCGCCACGGTGCATGTATGTAGCTCAGGTATGGCATTGCAGAAACCTGTACATTTGGGCATTGAAATTTCATGTTTTAGTAGTGTGAAGTATTAACCATGGATTTGGTGTTTTCCTCAGCTAGTGGGGACTTTTGTTGCTGGTACAGTCAATCTCGCAGTCGCGTGGTGGATGTTGGAGAACATTGAAAATATCTGTGATACTGATGTACTTGATTCTAATAGTCCATGGACGTGTCCCAAGTACCGAGTCACTTTTGATGCTTCTGTAATCTGGGGCCTCATTGGACCAAGGAGGCTCTTTGGACCTGATGGCCTCTACAGGAACTTGGTATGGCTGTTCCTCATTGGAGCTTTCTTACCGGTTCCTTTCTGGGTGCTGAGCAAAATGTTCCCTGAAAAGAAATGGATTGCATTGATAAATATACCAGTAATATCTTATGGTTTTGCCGGAATGCCACCTGCAACTCCCACCAACATCGCAAGCTGGCTTGTCACTGGAACTATATTCAATTACTTTGTCTTTCGATATCGCAAGCGCTGGTGGCAGAAGTATAACTATGTCCTATCTGCAGCATTGGATGCCGGGACAGCTTTCATGGGTGTTTTATTGTTCTTCGCTGTGCAGAATTCAGGCAAGCAATTGAAATGGTGGGGTACAGAACTTGATCACTGTCCTTTGGCTTCATGTCCAACAGCACCGGGGATTGTGGTTAAAGGATGTCCAGTCTTTTAAATGCTACGCAGCCATTTAAGAGATGGATAAGAAATTGCGAGCAGTGATAGGGAACAATTAAGAATCCATTTTTATTTTCCATGCGTGTACATGCTTCTTTCCATTTAATTAGAAAGTGCTGGTTATGATCTTCCTCTTTATGCCTCCTCAATGAACATTTACTGTTCTCAGCTTACAGCTGTTAGTAGTAATTTCTCTCAACTTAGCAGTGAATCCCTACCAAACTCCAACCTTGATCGTCCTGTAATGTGAACTAATGAGATGTTTTTTACTTTATATGTAGCAGAGAATGCCCTTCACACAAAATAGGAAATTTTCCATAGGGTAATAAAATCTTTGCATTCTCCATTGGGTCATGTTCTCACTTGATACAGCACTGAATGCTGGCTGCTTATTGACTGATTTGAGGGAATATCACAACAGATGCTTCTCAGCAGGATGCCTCGTGCAATCTTCTTATACAAATTGGCCTATCACTTTAGTATACAGAAATAAAAAAAAAAATAACTAAAATTCTATAGCATAACAAGATATTGATGCTGTAGAGTAAGCTTATTATGATTACTGGAATGAGAAAAAATTATACAATGAAAGAGGCAAAAGCTGCTCGCTATCCTAAATCAAGGACATATATAGCATATTAGCCCCTGCAGTACTTCATTCCATATACCCGTTCTCCACTAGTATTCTGTAATTTTCAAAAGGCAACTATAGAATCTCACCCTTTTGAATATTCCTCCTATGATTTAGGCTAAAAATAATAACAATTTTAATAAATGAACAGGTGATCAGGGAACAGAAAAGGCAGCTTCAAGTTAGCTGCTTTGTTTTCTTTCAACTATTTCTCCATCTTACTTGCATATGATTCTTAATAGAAACTTTCTAGTTTCTTTAGACTGTGTAGTGTTGTTGGATGGTCTCAATATCAAGCCCCTTCATTTTAACCACTGACTCAACGTGGCCCTTCAATGTGTGAATCTCTCTTAGCCTGCAACATTAACACTAGTTCATATGCTGTGTCCTTCAAGAAAAGAAATTGCAGTTAAATGACTACATGTAATATCATGAGCTTGATTTTCACTTCTTGAAATAGGTCTTAGAGGGCTAACAATCATGCATGTCCATCTTTAATCATACTTGTCAGATACTGATATAAAAAATACAAGCTATCGCTCTCGCTCTAAATTGGTACGGCTAAACTTTACCTTCCAGATGGTTATTGTAGGATTTCCATCATGGAATGACCTTTAGTTCTTTACTGTGTGTGCAGGCTAAGTACTTACCTTGCTACTTCGGCACGCCTCTTTGCCTGCTCAGCTAGCTCACTCAACTCCCTATAGCTGACCTTGTCATTTTTCATGGTTTCTGGGGACTGGAGACCATGAAGGGTGCGCTGAGCTGTAGCCCATTGAGCCTCCCGTTCACCCTTTCCATAATCCTTCTTGGTAGTGAAAGCAGTCTGGATTGGTTTTTAAACAAGCACAAAGGTAATGCAATAAGAAAAAAGTTTGTGAAATGAAATAGCAAATCAGATTTTGAGTTTAAAAACCTTGTTTTCTAGCAGATTATCCCAGGCCTTCCCTGTCAATGCATAGCGGGTGATGAACTTGAGGATGTCAAGAGGGATGTAGGTGATAATGCTGAAAATCCAGATTATCCCTGCCCATCCCCAACCGATGCCTTGGATTCTTGCAAATCCCCAGTTTGCATACACAGCAATGACAGTTGCCACCTTCATGGAGAAGTAATAAGTTAGAGCTTCCTACGGTGATCATGTTAATGGATAGATAACAGCTGGGAGTAGAAGTGGGGAAGAGATCGAAGTACTAACCAATTGCGCTGCAAGGAAGGCACCGACAAGCAAGAGACCAGGGCGTTCAGTGAAGGACCAGCTCCTTGACCTGGTCACAAAGATGAGTGCTTGACTGATGATGCTCACTTGAAGGTAAAGAGCTGCTGTAAGCTCATCTGGTTTACCTCTGATTGACCTCGCGCCGAACTTATCCTGCAAACGTCATCAAATTTTAGTATTTGTTTCAATTTAACATCATCTGAACTTCATCATTTAGAGTACCAATTCACTTACTGAGAAGAAGTCAGTGCCATGAGCAAGCCAGAAGAACAGCACGGTTATAATTGCCAAGTAGGTTCCGAGGACAACGCCCATGGCAAAAATTTCCTTAAGCTTCCAGGAGTCAGGGACAGGAGATGGCTTGACTCTATCCTTGGAGATGGTCATAATGGTTCCATCATTGAGGATGGCAATGATGAGGACCATGAACGGTGAGAAGTCAAATTTCCAGATAAGTGCAACAAGCAAGAATCCCAACACAATACGAATTGTGATGGAAACAGCATAGATTGTGTAGTTCTTCATCCGTTGGAAGATGGCTCTGCTTGTCAGCACAGCACTGATAATCACACTCAATCCTGGTTCTGTCAAAACAATGTCCGAGGCACTCCTGGCAGCATCAGTTGCATCTGCCACGGCAATACCAATGTCCGCCTTCTTCAATGCCGGCGCATCATTAACACCATCACCTGTCATTCCACAAATGTGCTTCCTCTCTTGGAGCTTCTTAACAATCTCATATTTGTGCTCTGCATATCCAAAGCTCACATTATTTAGATCACCTAAATAGTACTCAAACACAAACTCTCTGCTGTACCAGTTCAGGTTTAATAAAGATCCCATTACCCGGGAAGACACCAGCAAACCCATCAGCTTTCTCAATGAGCTCATCAACTGGAACGGACGCAATTGATTCATCTTTGTTATCACCAAGGAGGGATGATGAAGGATACATGTTGGTACCCATGCCAAGCCTGCGGCCAGTCTCTTTGCCAATTGCAAGTTGGTCACCAGTGATCATCTTAACATTGACACCAAGGTCAAGTGCTCGGCAGATAGTCTCAGCACTATCATGCCTTGGAGGGTCAAAAAGAGGCAAGAGACCCACAAACTCCCATGGTGCTCCTGCACTTTCCTTGTTCTTCTCTGGTATTCTCTGTAAACAGGAAAAAAAATGTTCATTTCATCAAAACATAGTTGAGCTAAAAAGGTCACCTAGGTTGTTATATTCCAAGTAATATTATGAAACAAGTAGCGAAGAAATTGTTAGATTAATGTACCTGACGTGCAACTCCCAGGGAACGAAGGCCACGGTCAGCAAAGTTGCTGATGATTTCATGAGCCTTTTTCCTAATATTCCCCTTGAGTTCACAGAGCTCAATAATCTGGCAAATAAATGAAAAGTTACTACCCGCAGGCGGCAGTGCAAGGGATAGTTTTCAAATAAGAGTTAAACACACTGGAATGCATACCTGCTCGGGAGCTCCCTTGCTGCTTCTATACCAATCACCATTTCCATCAAAGTAAGTGATTGCAGTGCGCTTTTCGACAGGGTTGAAGGGCAAGAAATGCACTTCTATGATTCCTGATCTTGCCTACAAAGCTCACAAGAAGGAAAAATAAATTTTCCATTTCAATGACTCCAGGAAATATAACGAAAACAAACTGACAAGAACTAAAAGTTCATAAAAATGGGATTAAATTGCATACCTCACTGGGATCTCCCAATATCCCAACTATTGAAGCATCAATGGCATCCTGGTTCTCGGTTCTAGAAGCCCTGGCAGCGTGTAATATAAGAGTGTCCTTGTCCATGTCCTTCACAAACACCTGTAATTACCAATGCAGAAAGTACCGAACCGTGAGTCGTATGAAATCGTGTAAGATAGGTCCCTCGAAGATTATATGACTTGGCTAAGAGCACTGACCTCAATGAGAGTCTTGTCAACAGTAAGCTTGTTAAGGGTGAGAGTTCCAGTCTTGTCACTGCACAAGACATCCATTCCAGCCATTTCTTCGATGGCAGTCATCCTCTTGGTGATGGCACCTTGCTGTGATAGGCGGTGAGATCCAATAGCCATTGTCACTGACAAGACTGTGGGCATGGCAATAGGGATACCTCCAATGAGAAGCACCAAGAGGTTGTCAATGCCATCTCTGTACCTCCTGTGTTGGATTGGGTACATCACTATGATCTCAATCAGCATACCAATTGCAATTGAGCAGATACAGAAGTTACCAATAGCAGTCAACACCTGATAAATAGATTGCACACAAAAAAAAAAGCTGTAAAACGAATCTCTGTGTGATCAATTTAGATTCTCATTAATGAAGTAAAAACAAGCAATACCTTTTGGAAATGACCGACGTTATTGGTGCTGTCTACAAGGTGAGCTGCCTTGCCGAAGAAGGTATGAACACCCGTCGCAATAACAACAGCCTCAATCTCACCTTGCTTACAGGTTGATCCTGAGTAAACCCCGCTGCCGGGATACTTTGTGACAGGAAGGGACTCACCAGTTAAGGCAGACTGATCGATCTTGAGCGGATCACCTTCCATGAGACGAGCATCAGCTGGGATAATATCTCCCAACTTGATGCTAATTATATCTCCTGGTACCAAAATTGCTGCATCTTGCTCACTCCATTTTCTATCCCTCAAAACCTGTAGGATTAATTATGTATACAATGAGTTACATTAACAGCCATGTACAAGGAAGGATATTGGACAAAAATTACCTTGGTTTTAGGAGCAAGACCAGCCATCAAGGCGGCGGCGGCGTTACCCGCATTGTTTTCTTCAATGAAGCTGATGGTGGAATTGATGATAAGCAACACAATGATACCAACAAAGTCTTGCCAATCCGGTGGCTTGCCTCCTCCATTAGCCAAAACAATGGCCATAATGGCAGCTGCCTCCATGACCCACGACAAAGGATTCCACATAAAGCCCAAGAACTTGAGGATTTTGCTCTCCTTTTTCTCCTCAAGCTTGTTGGGGCCAAAGATCCTAAGCCTCTCTTCACCTTCTGTTGTACTCAACCCCTCTTTCGTACATTTTAGCTTTTCAAGCACTTCTTCAATAGGAATTTTCTCCTGCACAAACACAAAAACAAATTAACACAACATTTGTCTATGTATAGGTACCTAAACAGGAAGCAAGATTCAAAGAGAAAACATGATGAGAAATGCTTACAAGATCAATGCTCTCATTCTTTATATCTTCCATGGTGAAAGATCAAACCAAGAACGTTAAGCTTTGTTATAATTTCTTGGTGTTCTAGCTCTACAGTCTCTTTCAATAGGCCTTCCTCGGTTTCTTTGTTTCACTGGCCTATCAAAGAGTCGGCAGAGAATGTGAGAAAACAATTGAAAATTCCGACCAGAAACATTTTGTTCTTGACAAAGCTCATTAGTATTTATAACCATCTTCCTTCCTTAACAATCAAAGGAGTGAAACCTCGCCGAATTCGGACATGTTAGTTTTGCTTT